AATGAATCGCGTTTCATCAAATCCTGTTCCAAAACTACCGATTACATTTATTAATTCTCCCCAAATTTTGAATCACAAATTTGGGAAGAAAGGACTATTAGAGCATGAGTCATGCCATTTTGTTGATCATGTTTCTAATTGATTCGTCTGATTTGGTTTTTCATTTGAGTCAACCTGCTCTGATCTTTAAGCAATCCTTCTCGTGGTTTGTACAAGAAGTCTCTTCATCTAGACGTTTATTGTAATCAAATTTTTTTCCAGTTTTAGGCCTTAGTTCTTTGTCTCCTATGACCTAGATTCGAAGGTTGTTCTAACTTCTTTTTTATGCACTACAGGATGCCTTGAAATTCATCAGGTTGTCTTCTCCTTTATCACAATTCTTTTATCTCTACATCTATTACGCTATCTGGAATTGTCTCCTCTATTGTATCTCCAAATACTCAAATCCTTTTAGATTATGAGAATGGTTAAAGGATTGCTTTGGGTGTTTTCTATTTTGTATGGATGGGCTGTTTAAGGTGGAGAAATCGTCTATTAAATGACTGCTTATGAAATGTTATTAGTATCATCTCTGCTATTAGAATTGTTTCTTTTCTTTGCAGCCTTTCTTATCATCGAGACTATTTCGTGGCGTTGTGGGCGAGACAAGCGAACGGGCGCGTCAAGTTGCACTCTGTGGTCTTCTCACTCTTTGCTACACGAATCTCCAGCATATTTCCAAGTCCAGATTCATCTCCGCAGAGAGAACAGCTCTTCTACGAACTTGCCTTGTCACCTTGCTGCGATGCGCTCGAATTAGTAATCGAGCCGTGGCCCTCACTGCTATCTCTATGCTTCATGCTCTCACTGAATGTTCGGATATGGTGTTTGATGTCAACCCTACTTATCCTCTTCTGATCATTCAAGTGAGTTGTAGACTTTTGACTATTTAAAATTATATGAGTTACCAAGATTAGATTAGATAAATTGATCAGGCGATCAGACTCCGTAGGGCCTGCCTACTTTAATAAATAACCAAAAATTGAATACGAGGATGAGTCAAGAAGTTCTCAAACAAATGTCATAACTTTAAGTAGAGCAATAATAAGTTCAAGCATGGCTTTAGAGCTTCGTTAATAACATTTGTTCAAGTGGCAGGCTTTATGGTATTTATCATTAGCCCTTAAACTTTGACTTCAGCTTTCCCCATGGGTGGGGGGTACATAGTATAGCAGTTAATTAATAGCAGTTCTCGTCAATAACATGTAACAGCCCGATTATTCTATGTAAAGTCAGGATCGCCATGGCAATTACTGTGCATATTCTTTAAGAGGTGTCAGGGCCCTGTTGTTCTAATTTCTATGCTTAACACTTTCACATCCTCCTTATCGTCTAGACCTAGCTCCTTCATTCTTTTTGGCTCCCAAAACGAAAATAACACCTTAAAGACGCTCGATTTACGTCTTTAAGTGAATTTAAATGCATGTAATCTCATGGTTCCAGAGACGGTCCCAAAAATTCTACTGTCAGGTAATTTACGGGTGCAAATATCGATTACAAAAGTGTATAGATAACAATGGAGTCTATGTGGGAAACTGAATGTTATCACTTGCTAGATAAATAAATTATGAAATTTATGTGAAAAAATTTTCTCTTCTCCTCGTATTTATGATCCTTTTTAGTGATCATTCGCAAATGTCTAACTGGTTTAAAAGTGTACATAGTGAAATACAAATATGAGGTGTGTGTATTCCTTGTATGGCATGCGATAACAAATTTTTCTAGGCAATGAAAATTTAAGACACCATGGTCACGCGACTTTTATTTGACTGCACAGAGATACAGCATGAGCCATTTAGAACCCTTGAAGTTTGTTTAAAGACTGGATCAATTAAATTTTTCAGGTGCTTCCAACCTAGATTTTGTAATATTTCTCTAAACGGCTCAGTTCGGTGGGCTGCGTTTATTCTTAATAACCCCTTCCAATTTTCATTATATACCGGATATTTGGCATAAATTTATCAGTATCATCATGAGAAAATTAAATAGGTTCGAGGAGAGCTCCTTAGGTGGCATGAGCTAATCATATTGTGAAAGACTGCTCAAAGTACCCGTCATTACTACTACTCCTGGGGAAAGTTTCGGAGGGAGTCATGACATCACTCTTACAGCAGTGGAGGAGGACATGCGTGGGGAAAGTAATGCAGTGTGCTAAAATTGATTCTGCATAACTCGTCTAGTGAGGTCATCTCTTAGTCCTATTGACAAAACCTTGCCCATCGGGAAAGAACCACGTTGCTTGTTGGGCTTGTTGGTTTCTTCGCCTTTGTCAGGCGATTTTTGTGAGATGTCAACCTCATCGACGCCTGTGTGAACTTCCAGTAACGAAGGTCTTCATTGTGTGCAAGCTTCTTGATAGGGGCTTAAGCGTGTTCACTTAACTGTGGAGACAAAGCCCGAATTCCTAAGCGAGGATGCATTAGCGCTTTCTTTTATGACGTATTTGAAAGTAAATCGGCTTTACACGCACAATTAGGTCAGATGATTAGTTATACTCCTGGCCACAATATCCTCAGTCTCTCAATTGTAGTTCCCAAGTTGATCCCATATTCCCTTCACACTACTCGAGGGATAATCGGTAGATTATTTAACCCCAGCACTCTGTCTGAATAAAGCAAGGGAAATTTGAGACCCCCGGTGATAATTGAATAATAGGAGAGTTGCGCTTTCACCCTTTTTGTCATGGACATTCTTTTCATTTATTTAGCTTTTCAGGCGTTTTTATAAAAAAAATTGAAATCGCTCGTGTACTATCAAAGATTAGCTATGGTTTTTCAACGTCTTAATTAAAATTTGTCTGCTAAACACTGTTTATCTATGCCATCAGTGCATTTCTCCTCGTCAAATTCGCCTAGTTAAGATGATTCTAGAGGCATCCAATTCTCAGAATGTCGATTTCATTTGTTTCCTACTTTTGTGACTATTTATTCAAAATCCATTTTCTACCCTTTTATTTTTTTTAATTCGGAACTGCCACTAATAGTTGCGTTTAGTCTTTTGCCATTGCTGTTATTTTGCGCCGCGTGAGGACACCAAAACGAAAAACGCCTGTCACTTTCGCTTATTTTTTTATTTTTCCAACTAAATCCACTTATTTTTAATGCCGACCATTTAGACCCTGGCCTGGAATTTAGCTTTTCTTTGGAGCCAAACCTATACTGAGGACAAAATATCGCCGACATTTAAAATGGTAAATATTCTGTTTTCAAGGGAATTTAGCTTCAAGTTGCTTATGTGTTCCAACGTTTATCTTTCTAGCTTCTAACGGCAAATATATCAGCTCTCATTGGATGGACAGTAAAGATTCCTTTACCCATTTTGACTTCACCATTCGTGGACTTGAATAAATCAGCTCAAAGCAATGCACAAGATCGTTCCAAGGAGGTTACGTGTCTCTGGGTTGTCTTCTCCGTTCTTGAATTTGTATGCTCCTCTTTCACCACCTCCTTTCAACTGGAACCGTCAGGTCTCAGTTGGGTTCCCGGATGTCCCATCCCTGATCCCCTCGCTGACGAAGTTGATGGCAAAGTGAGTTCTCTTATCTTGCTGACTTTGGCACTACATGTCTACTGATAATTATAAGTAGCACGGTATTGTGCATTGTATAAAACTCTACTGTATGTGACAGGTTGCCCCATGGTCCCCCTATCAATTTCTCCCTGTTGCGCAGAAAAAGAAAGTAAATACGATAAGTTTTGCAATACTTTGTTGTTAATGGCTGCACTTTTCCTCCTTAAATTTTTCATTCGCTCATCTCGGTGTGGATTCATCAATAACTTTCCGTTTGCCCTTACGCCCGTGAAAGAGGGCACTAATTTCTTATAGTATTGTTGGATATATTTGCTAAATTGATTTCCACATTTCATTATAGGTTTCTGATGAGTTAAAACCATCGACACTAAACATGGATCTTCATACGAACCCCATTGAGATGTTCTCCGATCAAGCTCTTTTCCTTGCTCCCGCTCCAATTACACCTGATTGTATTCGAGTTGCAGCTCGATTTGCTCGATGCCAACTTTTTTATCAACTTGGTCGTTACCCTCTGGTTGGTTTCTGTTTCCCCACCCCCATCTCCAAACTGACTGTACATCTGGTTTATTCACTATTTTCTGTTTTAGTCTAGTACTAACGACGTGCTGGACTCACTAATTCAGGAGCATCATGATAGAATGCTGGTTGGCGTTCTGGATAGCGAAGAGCTTTCATTTGAATCGGTTGACCAACCGGATGTCCAAATGTTTGTCATAAATCGCTCCTTCCTTCTTTCGGTTTTGGCTGTTGAATCGACGAACACAAGTCGTTTGAATGACGACGCCACGAAAACTCATCACATGTTAAACAATAGCGCTCTTAGAGAAGAAGTTGTGACAGGTGGGAGTTTCTTTTTTCATGTTTAATTCACTGATTTGTGTAGACTCTTGCGACGTACGGATAATTATACGAGATATTGCTGGCAAGTATGTTTGGGATGCCACGCAGATTTATGGACTTGTTCCAGTTTCTTCAAAAAAGAGTCCATCAGCTCCACCATCTAAGCATACAAATTCCAATCATAAGAGGAATAAGTCATCTGATACCTTCGTAAATGCTGAAACAGAGGCTGATTCTAAAGCGAAAATAGACTTATTAGCTCAGGTAAGTTCATCTATTTAAAATTGTCAGTAGTATGTGTCTCTTGAAGCAGTCTTAAAAGCTTACCCTTTTCTTCGAGTAGCTTCTCGAGGATTTGGTGTCCCAACATCCTGAGCTCAAATCCCTCTCATCCTTTTACGAACCCGATAGAAATGGATTTGAAGAGACCTCTCCGTTCGAGAAGTGTGTTACTGAGCAAGTGCTCACTGCCGCTAAAAATGAAAAACGGATTCTTGATAAACTACCTGAGATTCCGTCCTTGTAAGAAAATGTTATTGCGTATTTAATTGCCATTTTAATCTGAGACTAAAGTGTGTGTTTAATAATTCACCTTTTCGCTTTTAGACCATTTTACGGCACCGACGCAAACGACCCAGCAGACAGCGAGGAAATGAAACAATGGGCTAAGTTAAATCGTCGATATACTGTTGTTAAGCAATTCCTTAGTCAGCTTGGTTTCCTCTCGCAAAATCGTCGACCGTCTGTTGAATTGTTGAAGAAATCCCTTAACCTAGTACGAGAGATTAAAAATCTCGATAAACAGAGGCCGTTAGTCGCTAATTCCATTCGATCGACAATATGAATCCTGCAACTATATTGTCATTTAACATTTTTTCCTTCCTTCAAATAGGCGTCAAACCTACAAGTTAGCCGTGGTGTATATTGGGCCAGGTCAAGAAGACAAGCGTTCGATACTATCTAACTCCCGTGGTTCTATTGAATTTGAACGATTTGTTTCCTCCCTTGGTTGGGCAGTAAAACTTGCTACTCATCATGGTTTCAAAGGCGGCTTGCAATATCCGGAAGATGGAGATATTGCCACATACTTTGCTAATCCTTCCGTTGAAGCCATCTTCCATGTAGCTACACAGATGCCTTCCGTAACGGAGGAAGATCGACATCGAATGGTAAGTTGTGAAATCATTCGTGTTTGTAATTTTCTTCGCCTTTGATTACTAATCTCAATTGTCCCTCTCTAGACATTGTAATTTATGTCTCATCGGTGATTTTTACCTTAACAATACAAGATTTTTGGGTATATGCTACATTGAATTTCAAAAAATTGCGTATAGATGCGATTTTTATTTCTCTCAACTATGTGGAAAAAGTGCCTTTATTCAAAATTATCTTTTCGTATGTCATTTTATCTAGAATATCATCTCATATTGTATTTCAATTTTATGCAATTGAACGGATATTTTGACGATCTTTTCAGAATCTAACTTTCATGAACTATAATTTGCTAAAATCCATTTACTATAAAAATATATAAACGAATTGAAGCTGCTACGTAACCAACTGAGGAACTAAATCGCTCGGTTGACTAGCTCCCCACGTTATGAGCATGATTTCATTCATGAACTAGGCATTAGAAGCAGGCAATCTGAAAGTTATAGTATTGTAAAGTGAGTGTTATACTTTTATGAAAACTCAACCAACTCATTGTTTCCCGTGATTATAACCTGTACAAGATAGATATCTTAAGCAATAATAGTAACCTTTGAGTATTCAAATTTGATAATTTTTTGTTATCTTTTGCAGTTCAAGCACCTTGGCAACGATGAAGTGATGATAATCTGGACTGAACATTGGCGTGCCTTCCGAAGAAGTATCCTACGAACAGAATTCGGTGACGTTCTAATCATTATTTCACCCCTTTCTAATGGTTTATTCCGCGTGGAGATTCGAAAAGAACCGGAGGTACTATTTACCTTCACTGACTACAATTGATTTCATTTCCGCTGTTTATCTTGGTCTGTTTTTCTTTGTAGATTCCATTCTTTGGTCCTCTTATCGATGGAATGCTAGTCTCTGAAGAACACTTACCATTTCTTGTTCGAGCGACAGCCATCCAAGCTAGCAACGCGATAAATTCAAGGAAGCCCAATTTCAAAGAACAGTGAGTCTATCTTGCCAATGCTATTTTGCGTAATCCTTTAATTAGCCAAACGCTATTTATCTTAACAGGTATGAGGAACGGGCAAACTATTTGCAAACCATTATCAACAATCATATGCAAAATTCCTCCTTTGAAGATTTCGTCATGCAAGTGGCCTTACCGAAACCTCTCCCTTGTTAGTCTTTTCATCAAAACCGTCAAAATAAACTGTCGGCTGTTTCTTATTGGGCCCTTATTATTTTTTCATTTCAGGCCAAGATATTACAGACCGTCAGTCTCGCCTTATACGGCCTTCAGGCTTTTCAACTGCCCTTCCCAATGATACAGAGCCTGTGCGATCTCCAAATGCTCCTCTAAAAGGTATCACCAAGTCCCACTAACTGATAAAGTACTCAAAGTTAATCTAACCAGCTCTAGAATATTTGGGTTGAGGGTTAATTGTACCCGATCATATGGAAACTTATGTTACAAGAATTTTTAGAGAAAAAGCCGACCACGTGTTGTAGTAGCCCAAATAAGCCAAAAGGTAGGCATATTGAATGGTTTGGGAAACTCGGAATTCACTCCATCACACTCAAAGTACTCTAATATGCTGTTTCTATATAACTCGTAATTATATTTAAATCAGCGCATCCAGATCTCCGGGCACCTAGGTCTCGACTTCACGGGATGATGTCTAGTTTTCGAAGTGGTTTGTAACCCTAATTTACAGTCCATAAATATAATAGAGTGCTCAAGTTGTGGTGTAATTTCCAACTCTCTACTAAGGTTAACTCTCTGTGTTTGGGATTTTATTGCTTCGTATTAACCTTGTTAAACATGTATATATATATATATATATATATATATATATTTTATTTCTACTAATACTAATACAAATGACTTTATTCGCACTGTTTTGTAGCCTTTCCTCAATTCTTATGAGAGCTCCGCGGTATGATCCTCCATCCCCTCCTCATTTCCGTTTCGACCCGAAAAAAATTATTTATTTTTCTGCACGTTTATGTCTTATTGCATGGGTGATGCGTTTACCCCCATTTGTTTTCATCGTATTTTTGTTAAAATTTCATGTTCCCACTTAGCTATAGGCTTGCATGTTAGTTGCTTTCAAGCTTTTGTATAGTTTTTAATTGTACTCTTCTAAACTTGCGTTTTTCACTGCCATAATTGTGAGTTTGGCTCATCTTACTCTTTGTGCCATTAGTCCCTTTAAATAACATTTCACTTTAGCTGCGTTAGAAGATTTGAACTTGATAGAAATGCTTTCTGAAATGTGGGTAACGGTCAATGAATCTGTACTACAGTTGTTTTGTTAATATTAGGTCTGATTTATGCATGTGCTTTACGAAAAGCAATTAAGTATGCCCATCAATGTTGTCGCAGTGAGGTTGTGATGCAATTTTAAAGCTTCCGAATTGATCTATCCATCCCCACGTGATTCCTGACGGCCTTTTTAGGCCTGGGGCTCAGACAAAACGATTATCGATCGAAGAAAATGCTCTAGGGAAAATTTTAAATTAAAAGATCGCGACAGTAATTTTGCTACACTTTGTGGTAGATTAGTTCAGTACTGAAAAACCTGAGAATGCTATTCTGCATGAATTGTTAACCTGCTTTCTTGTTGCTGTTGACTTAAGCTGCTTTGCTATCCGCAATTGTTAGTTTATTTGATCGTTTGTTACTATTGTGTATTTAGACGTTTCTCCAATCGTTCGAATTCGGCGGCATATGCGTATTCGCAGTGATAGTGCATGCGAACAAGAACCTGTTAGTATAGATACAACAAGCAGCAAAAAACACAATCGTAGAAGGAGTTCCCTCCATATCCCAGAGATTGCAGTTACTTATCAAGACTCTGTAGATGCGGTAGATTCAACCACCTCAACAGATATACCCTTAATCCAGGCCGTCGCTCCCGCCTCCTCCAACTTAAGAGATCAGTCCAAAGGTCTTTTCAGCCGGATCTCCCTAAGACACAAACGACGTAGTGCTGCTATTCAAGGTCGCAGGGCGTCAGCTGGACGGATTTTAAATCCCTGATGTAGCATAGCGCATATACTTACGCCAAATACATATCAAATTCTGTTTAATATATCTCCACCCCTCCATTCTCCGGTATACTTGCATTCCGTCCAAGCAGAAGATTGTGATTCAATTCTCCCCCCCCCCCCCCTCCCCTAACTTCACCGTTAATGCGCCACTAACGCATATCGGGTGTCCTTCTCCTCTTGTTTTTATGCAATATAATGCAATAAGATTTGACTTGAATATAAATTATGTAAATTTATATTCTCAATAGAGGCCATAAAGCTACTTCTTCCACCTTTGAAGCCGATTAATAATTAATCTGGAAGCTTTTTTCCATTTGTAATGTTGTTAATCGCTCGAATACATTACCTCCACTGTGAGTAAGGATTATAACAGGAGACTATTGAGAGTGAAGTGGTTTCGTCGTTTGCCTCTATTTTCTTTCAGGGAAGGAGAACATGCTAGTGATTCCTTGCTTCAACGCGTGGCAATTTGCGCCAAGGTGCACTCGACTTGACTAGAAATTAGGGGGCCAATGATTTTTTAAAATTATTATTCGCCGGCTGACTTACCTGGTGTCATTAAGTTACAGCCATCTTTTGTGATCCAATGCTTGACGTCCGTGGCCATAGTTAAAGTATAAGCTCAAACACTAATAAGAAACCTCAAAATTGCCAAAGCTGTTCTACCGCCTGGTCTGAGAAAAGTATAGCAATTTATTTGATACAAGACATTAATTATCGGCAATATAATTGCTCTATTTTCAGGAAAATAAGGAGAAATTCAGAGCTAAACACGTAATAATGTGTAAAAAAGAAAAACATTGCATATAACTACTAAGGGAAAGTACCCTTAAGTATTCGGGAGATATTGACCTTCCGAGTATTTGGGACGTGCCTAATAGTGATAGAAATTCGAGTTTTCCGTTCAAGATGATCGGCTAAGTCCTCCCAGAGGGGAATTTGAGAAAGATTGAGTATTTTCTTCTCAATATCATCGTCAGCAAAAACGGAAGAATCAAAATCGCCTTTAATCTGGGGAAGGTAATCAACTCTCTTTCCCTCGATTCCGTGCATGTAGTAAGTATAAAGACTGCCGGTGACCATACTCAGACTTCGAGGCATTAGTAACGCCGACCCAATATAACGCGATTTGAAAGACGCATCCTAAAATTAAAATCCTAACGACAGAATTTGAACAAAATATTGATAATAAAATTAAGATAACTAACAGTAGTATCATCGGTGATTGGGTTATAGAAGTCCAAAACACTATGTCCACCAAGATTCACAGTTGTAACAAACGGATAATAGAGTGGTCCATCGTGATGGGGCTAAAACAAGAATTACTCAATACGCTACCAAGGTACCATAATTCCTTCCCCAGGTTTGTACTCATTAATCAGCACATGGTTGGCCCGATGAGGACCAAAGACACCCAAATCGGAAATTCTATCCATCAAACTATGAAGCCATTCAGGAATCTTTTCGGCTATCATGCCTTTAGGATGAGGTGTTCCGCCCCAAGTTTGCAATCGGCGATGGGCAAGATACTGCCACTTTCCAGCAGCATAAATGTTTTGCAGAAGTTCCGACTCTGTTTGGGCATCTATGAAGTCGGGGATGTAGAAGAACGTGTTTGGAACATTTGGAACTATGAATGGGGTGACTACTGTAGGCCAGCAAGTACAAGAATTTGTATCTAAAATAAATCACACGGACAATAACTAAATTTTCAATGATAGTACTAACCGTTAGGAAGTCAGGTTATAAAATATACATATATATGCCAGTTCAAAATACCTGAAAAATTCGCGGAGGGATCGGTAAACGCTTCACGGGCCATAGTGGCAATGTGAAGGACCTAGAGATATTTAAAAAACATTTAAAAAGTCTTACTATTTGAAAAATTAATGAGTAATTTAATTTTTAAAAAATATTATCTTTATTATTATTTTTATCAAGCTGCGAACCCTATAGTATCCTAATCGCGCGTCTCTTAATTGCTCCATTCGTTCTCCAATTAACTATGAGTACGGGGAAGCCTTCTTCGTTACCAGATATTCAACCCTCCGGTAATTTCATCGCGTTATTCCGTTGCGTTTAATTTATACTTCTATTATTTTGAAATTCGTTTCTGTGATTTTGCCGCATTTGTAGATCGTGCCTGCAAGCGCAAAAGGACAGCTAGGATGGATGCAGATTTTGATTTCACTGGACCCGCTAAAAAGACATTGCGCACTCGAGGAACAAATCGACAAAAATCCTTTAATGGCTCTGCAAACTCAAAATTAAAGTCAAGGCGCCAATTGTTCAAATCCAACGTATGTTCCAATTGCTTATTAATACCTTAACTTTCTGTAGCCTATAAAGATCTCTCCGGCGAAGCCATGCATTCGTTTAGAAACCCGCTACTTTCACAGAGGAATTTGGTATCAAATCGGTGACATTGTTTCTTTGACCGATACTGATGGTGATGAATACTACGCTCAAATTCGAACATTCATCATTGACAGTCATGAAGACGCTCATGTTGTGTTGACGTGGCTTGTTCCTACTGTGGAGGCAAAGGGAAAAAAATTCGAGGCATCAAACTACGTGATAGGCATGGAGGAAGATATTCCACGCAGGATAGAATGCGTTGCTTTCTATGCTCGGTGTCCCTCGGACTACTTTAGGCCTGTAGATTCCCCTTACACAGTAGGGTCGTGGATTCCTCCTGAAAGTCTCTAGCCGCTCCCCCTCCCCCACTCTTATTGACCATTTCCCGTGTATATAAACAATATCTTATCCAAAGAACTTTGCTATTACCATTCCCTTTGTTGCTTTTTTCCTGAAAATTATAATTTTGGCTTTTATTTCATGCGTCAAACATGAAGATTTACCACTTCTGAATTCTTAGTTCTTGGATAATGGTCTTCCAATTCTCATTCATAAGAGTAGAGGCTAGCGAAATTTGATTCGTTTTAAAGATTTTAATATGCCATTACCAAGAGCCGAGGGATGAAGGTTAGGAAATAGTTGTTCTCCCATTAGAAGAAAGTGTGTGAACGTAAAATCGGATTTAATGGCTATAACCGTTGTTAGAAGATTCTGAGAAAAAATGAAGGAGCTGAAGTTTTAGAAATCAAATGATAAATAGTAAATTCACTCTGGTAGGCAAGCATAATCGCTTTATTACCCTATGCTGAACAAGTCATAATATAGCACGTCACAATGCTATGCAGCTCAAAAATGAACAATTTCAAAGCTTGAGTAGGATAATTTAAATTAGAAATATTTGTATTTCAAATCACTTTTCACGACAATCGAGGGAGGCATTCACCAAACGCGTACTAGAACCTATGATGTCATGGGCCGAATATGAAGAAATCACACAAATCACGGAGTTTGTAATACCACGTGAACTAATACAACGAATTTGCAGAATTACTGGTGGAATTCTAGCTTCTCACCACCTCCAAAGAGTTCTGTTTAAAATGTGTGAGAACCACAACAGAAAATACCCTATGTGTATAAAAGAAAAATGCAATTCAAACCGAATGTAAATAGTAGGCTCACTTTTAGAATGATAATATCAATTTTAGACATTTATATTTCAGAGAGTGAAATTAGGGATAAAAAATAGAATCGCAAACGGATAATTGCAAATTATTGCTTTTATTTACAAGTAATCAACTACACGAAAGGGTGACTAACTTTTGAGAAAAATGTAAGCTAACAAATAACTAGGGTTTCTTCTGTGCCACGATAATATGGGACTGCAATGGAAGAGGCTGCTTGAATTCACTGTTACAATTCGAAACTCCCATTCCAAGACCGAATCCAGTGCCGAAAATCAAAGGCCATGGACGACCTACGAGAGAATATTTTATTTTGTAACACACTCACGTTTAGCAAAGAGCACCGAAACGATTATACCAACGGAAACACCGGCTCCTGGTAGAGTTTTAATGAGGATTATCCATATAAAAAATACCTGTTTTGATAAGGGTATCTGAAATACAACGATCGACCTTTTTGCCGATAATATCCTCGCTTCTTTCCGGAGCAGACATTTTCCGAACTATCGTTAGTGTGCCTCAAGCCACTAAGGGCCGGTCTTCGTAGTTATTAACAATATTCCCTTTTCGTTTAACACGACATATATTAGTGTGCTTTATCAGATAACAATTTTGCTGAATATTTAGTGAGCTAAAACATTTATTTTTGTTGAGAACTTAAGTTAGCTACCAATATTAAAGATACAATACCAATAACATCAATTTGCATCTGTTATAAACCGTGTCAAAATTCTAACAAATAAAAAAAACATAAATTCTTTCAATGATTTAAGATGGAATTCGAAAGGTTCATATATTTACATATATATCGATAAGTTTTGGGTTAAATTTTTAGAAAACGGCACACCATGCATTGAATTCAGGAATATGAACAGAAACAATCGTCTTTGCAACATTATTCAGTTAGTTCCTATTGCTTAACAATACTTGCTAGAGATTTGATGTTTTAGCTATCTTTATCTTAGGTAATACTAAAGGATATTTTGGCGAGCAATAGAACGAGTCTTACATTTTATAGTTATATATTCATCCATGATTATTTCCTTGTAACATAGGGATTATATTTACGTTCAACCTATTAAATAGATTCTGGAGTGGTGATTCATACACCTACTGTTGAACTATATACACAATCTGATTAGCACTATGGACAAACTTCTCTCTTTCAAAAGTAAATAATAAGTGACGCCGTATTGGTGATTTAGATAAATTTCCATCATTTTCCCATTAAAATTAGCAAAGGCATAGTTTTATTTGCTTTCAAAAGAACATTCTTTTGCAGTTCATCTGTTCATCTTGAAGTTTTAATTCAAGATTCCCTGTGAAGTAAGACGATGAAGAATTATCTAGTGTTTCCATTTCTCGAAAATGACTATGAAATAATTGACAAAGCTAAAAAATTAAAAGGAATAGTTGAAAAATATTTTTCTGTTTGCTCAAACACTCACAGAAAGTCAATTAATGGTTCTTTAAATTGATATAATTGGCCTAATTCGTGAACTGTCCAAATAAATGGGAAAAATATCTCCTTATCGTTCACTTTCATTATCCATATGCTCACATAGTTCCCTTGTCGTTCACCTGGAATTTTACCTAAATTACCGTTATAAACTGATTAGCCTCCAAGCTATACAAAATTTCCAGAACTCAATAAAAGCACGTAAATGTCTCTAAGCTAGGTCCTGCTCCAAGACTATTCAAGACATTGTCCCTGCTGTTTGGGATATTCATATAAATATGGCAATTGGATAATCAACTAGCAATGAATTTTTCCCTTATTTTACTCACTTATTTTATTTAACGTCTCCCTCGAAAGTTGTGTCTCCATACGGTTGAGCTTTTGATCATGGATAAATTTTTTCTGAGGTCTCCTTAGGTGACCGAATTCACCATCGAGCGAGGCTTGTGCTGGGTCCCCGAGCTTAGAACTCCAGGAGTAGAGTAGCATTACTATTCAAGGAGCAAAGCAAAGAAAAATGGAAAGGTTGGGTCAGATGTAACACGATGAAAGCAATATTAAGAAATTTAAAACATGTTCGTGTGAACTTCTAAACCACTTTTCATTCAGGATCAAGCAAAATACAACTGTGACATTTCTACTGAGAAGACTTATCTGAATCCAAACAATGAATGCAATTCTAAACATACAATACATAACCAGGAGGAAATTTTAAGTTGAACAGAAAAAAAACCGAAAACGAAGTTCCTGAAGAAATACAAGATTTAAAGGAGGATTATTTTTCCTTGAGGAAGTAGCATTCTGATCAGTTATGTCTGTTATTTTAATTATTATCAATATTACTGTTATTATTCCCATGAATGTAATTTATTAGAAAGGTAACATTGAATGTAGCTTTTCAGTGCCCAGGTGACCTGTTCTCTCTCCCTCCGAACAGCGATATCAGCCCTTGATCCCAACAGGGTCCATCGTTCTTATAAATTCTACTTCCCATTAGTAAATAAATAAAAGGTAGGTTGTGTGAAAAAAAACAATAATTTTTACTGGCCTTAACGGATCCAAATTCCACCACTCGAAACGGACCTTAAGGTCAAATATCCCCACAAACATTTAAATTTCACTGTTGAAGCAACCACTGTAATCAATTCGAAAATTCTTCAAACTATCTAAAGAATTTTTCAGACCAATAACGCTGGAAGTATATTAATCAAAGAGAAAATTATGATGCTCGGATTTTAAATCGGGTTTATAAAGGTTCGTGAGGGCCTCATGTGTACCAAATCTGATGTTGTAAATTCCAAATTTCGGTCAGATTTATGGTAGTAATCAAATGGTCCACGGTAGCTGCAACAGTTGTGACTGAAACCAGGACGGACTTGTGTAGCATCATCAGGTAAAAGTGTCATTTTATTGATTGTCAGTTCCTTTTTGATTATTGATTTGAAGTCAACTTGATTGTTCTTTCATTGTAATTGGCAGCATTTATTTATAACCCACACCATAACACAATTTAACAGGTTTTAATTGTGAGAAATAGGTAAATGCAGTCGACAGCAAATCCACTGACTGACAAGTGAAAAGAAAAAATTTTGTGACCAACCTCAGGGTGACAATGGGAATTTTATATTTGATTATTGGGTTTGGGTAGCAAAAAAATCCACTTACTACGTGGTTCACTTCCGAAATTATAGTTTGGCAATACCTATTCTGGATTGCAGCAACTGCTTGTCAGGCATATTCAGTGCTTATTGATCGAGTTTTTAGTCAAGGTGGTTCAGTCTTGCCACTTCGAATAGTCATTTTTTGTCTTTTTATAACCGAGAAGTCAAAATGCACTTACGTGATATTCAATAGCGTAAAGTCTTGACACAGAAAGATGAAACTACTAAAATGCTGAAGTTGGCAGAACTCCGTAAGCTGTGTTCACTCAAAGTGCTGGAATTGACAATACAGGAATTTATTTACGTTCAGTCATTCTACTATTATCGCAAATAATAACTTCCAAATCACTATAGGACTTAGTGAAATAGGTAAAAATGAGGTCTGGTATAGCTAAATAACCATCTCTGAAGTATACTCCTTCATCCAAGTTAAATGTCAAATTCGAATATCAAAGTCTCCGCTCTCTTCGAAAAAAAATACCTATTTAGACTATCTCAATGCGTTAACTCAAAGGTTATCTATCAATTCAGGTGATTCAGTATGTTAAAACAGTTCTATATTTTCAAACAGTTTATTGCCATGTATTGCAATAAATAACTCCCATGAGCTCAATTTTATCTTCCTTGTCTATCTAAACAATTACCATTTATACAGCGTCTTTGTGTGCAGTTCCTCATAAGCTTAAATCGCCAACTTAATTCGTTTAATTAATGTTTGAGTAATAACTATTTATATCAAATTGTAGGCTTTATGATAGTTATCACTAGCACTTTAGTTGACTTCGGCCTGCACAGAGGGACGGCACAGATAAAGTCACAAAAGTGGAGGGGGGAACAGAAGTGTGATTCACAGATGTAAAAGAGACAAACAGACGCAAAGGAAGAGAAGAGCTGAGGTGAGTATTGTAGAAGTAGTCGAATATGACATACAGTGGGGTCATGGTAGTTTGAAGTCAGAAGTCAACTGCCTGTTTATAGACTTTTTGGCGTATGAGAATAAGTTACCAAAGGTGCACCACATGGAGGTAAGTCTATCGCACACCCCAAACTAACAAATATAGTTCTCTATAATCATGTTTGTTGACAGGGTGATTGATATTAATACTGTAAAATTTTAAAAGCCCTTTGTTTAAGTAAGTTATAATGTCGCTTCACTTTAAAATAAGCGTATTTGATTTGGTAAATTGGTTATTTGTCAAAAGTAAGTCATGACAACGGTGATTCAGCTCATAGGAAAATAAATATTTTAAAATCTTTCAATCGCTTCCGATTCCATTATTTATATTCTATTTGACTTATTGAGAACCAAATGCAATAAATATATAATATTCATACTAGCCTGTTTTAAAATTTCTTGTTTCAACCACATTATTCTCTATACCTTTTCTACAAATATGTGAACTTGGTCATTTGCGTTGTCATTTCAGAGGCCCTTTGGGCTGTGTGAACTGAGATATTTTAGCATTTCCTCTGACCAAATCCTCTATTATTACGTTTTCTTCCCACCCACAATAAAAATTCGCGACTTGCTCTATAATACACAAAATTTGTTGTAACCAATCAAAAAGTTTTTACTTGAGATAGCTGTGCTTTTTTCCACATAGTGGTACTATTGATAATAACATGAGGCGCAGTGTCATTAGCCGCTGTCCCATGAATTGACTAACACCCAGTCAGCCCACTTTCGGAGAATAACACAAATAGTGAGATGCAGAGTTATTTGAATAGCAAGACTGGCGAATGATAATCACTGAAAATATGCCAAGATATTAAAATCCCCCAAATATTTCACGTTGACAACTCATTAATATCTTCTTAAAACAGGCACTGAATGTGTGAAAAGTTGCAACAAAAGAGGAGAAAAAAAGAAATGCTGTATGGAAAATATATTGTGAAGGTCAGTGGCTTTTTGATAGTTCGAAGAGCATTTATACTTAGAATATGATTTTTGGACGAATCAAATATTCCATGAATATTGGCCGCAGAAATACCTTCAATGGGCTATAGAACCAGACCTTAGAGGACCTATTATAGAATTTGCATTTGAATTTACTATTATAACTGAGACTAAAGTAACCAAGCTAAATGGAGAGGACTGAAAACACTGCTTCTCTTGACAGTTGGACTTGGGTTGTACAGTAGTTTATTTACGCTCCAAGATCTCAATTTCATGAATTGTCAACTGGATTAAAGTGGAAAATTTTGTGCGATGTCTGCTACTTATCGGTCGAATATTCAATTATGAAGGTTGATCTTGCCATATAAGTTCATTTTCCATTCAGAAATTGCGAATGGCTCAACTTGAAATTTAAAAACTCACCAGGTCATGGTATTCCATTTTTCAATTGGCCCTTCCATGCATGACTTCAATCTCG